ATTGGGATCTCATAGAGTAAAAACAAAACAGGGAAATGCTTACAATTCTTAATTTCATTTTCTTTTAACTATTTAACTATAAGAGAAGACATTGGTAGGGGAATAAAAATGCACTGAGAAATGTCTCCTTCCTACTTATAGCAGCAGAACAAAGTTTTGATTGGTGGCAAACCTTTATATCAATATTGAGCTACTTAGGTTTAACAAATGCACATTAAGTAGAAACAATGTTTGTGCTATCCTTGCAAAATACTTCTAAAGCTGTAATTCCTAGGAGCCTTTTTCCACCAGAGAAGCAGTACTTCAGATAATTTACCGTCAAGCTGACTCAGTGCTCCCAAGTGAAACAGCACAATTTTAAGTACAGCTCATCCATGCTTAGGCATATGTATAAATATAACCATAAAAATGGAGCATTCCTACTGCTTGCCATCTTACTATCATCTTACTACCATCTTGTACTTTCCCCATTCTTTACTGATTATCAAAACTATAATAATTTGTAGGTCTATGTTCTTGGCACCTGACTGACCACTTGAGAAGCAACAACACTTTTCAGAGAAAGAGATAAAGAAATAAGCAGCCCATCTATTCAATGACAACAAAGACTTCTGACAAAAAGAAATTCTGCTATTTGTAGAGAAATGTAGTCACCGGGTAAAAAACAAATTATTGAAAACTTATGAGGTGACCACATAACAAAATAAAACACCAAATAATCTATCTTTGATGCTACTGTAAATCTGTCATGCGTGGCTAGCAAAAAAGGAATGATCGTTATGGTGCTTATTCTTAAAAACAGCAATTATGTGATTATCAGTTCAAACCATCGGTAAGACTCAATAGGTGATATCTTACTCATGTAGGTGTCCAGTTAAAAATGTTCTATCCTTTTATCTGCAAACATACAATTCCTTCAGCACAAATAATTTCAAGTCAGAAGAAAAAGGAAAGACTAAATATTTTGAATATTACAGTTCTGAGTGCTCTTTTACAGGACTGAAATTAATACTAGGTAGACACCCTAGAGGATAACAAGGTTACCCATAATCAAATGTGATTTCTTTGACTACCATTTTTAGGACTTTATGGCATAATAAGCTTTCAGTATGGGTTGATCATCCCACTTGGGATAAAAATAAAGTATGCATTCAAGTAACTGCCCATATAGTAAAGAAATCTTTTACAATACGGACTCACATCAACAGAATTATTATTTCATTTCAAATTGCCAGAATTTCCATAAAACTAAAATCTAAATTTCTTCCAAAAATATAAGTGCTCTATCCCATTTAGTGATGAAACTGAAATGAAGACACGTTAAAAGTTAAACTAAGGTGTTTCGTATCATCATAGTTCTTGTGAGTTTTCTGAAACACTAAGTAATACACAGCTGGTTTCCTTACTCTGGGTAAATGGCTGGATCTTACTGTACAGAAGTAATTCCTGGTTTTAGATGACCTATACGTTCTCTTCCATCTCTTGTACTGTTAGTTAGATTCCACTTAGTTATGAAAATTCAAGTAATTTGTAACTTACTCTTGGGAATGTGTTAAACTCAGGTAATAGGGGCACCACTTTTACGATAAAATGATGTCATAAAATTTGGGCAGCTACTCAAGCAGTCTAAGTGAGTTTATGTTGTTTAACATATAGTATTTACAATAAGTCCAGCATTGTTCTAAATGCTTAATAACTATTAATTCAGTTATATGGTATTTTCAGTCTACTTAGTAACTAAGTTCTTATGAAGCTTAATGAGTATGTGAATTGGCATTTACCTATGAATTAAACTATGAATTAAACTATGAATTGGCAATTACCTATGAATTAACTCTTTGAAATTAAAATTACTTATTTCTAACAGTGAGGATTATCCCACATAACGTAAATCTGGTCAATTAACTCTCCTTACTGAAATCCTTAGATTGCCTTTAGGACAAAGTCCAAATTCCTCAGCAAGTCAGGAGGTGCTGCAACATCTACTACCTGCTTTCCTATTTTACCTCATCTGTCCCTTAAATCCTAAGGATTTGCAATTAACCAAAACGTGTCCTGACTCCCACATGCCTATGTATTTGCTGCCCCTTGGGTTTGATATGCTTGTCCAATCTGTTTAATCTGGCCAATTCCTACTCACTCTCAAAACAGAGCTCAGACAGCACCTCCCCCAGAGAGCTCATCCTGATTGCTCAGCTGGGTTAAATAATGGGTCTTCTCTGCTTCTACAACTCTCTCACCTCCAGAAAATCAAACAGAAGGCAGAATGCAACTGCTTATTTACTCATTCATCTTCCCACTTGTCTGTTAATCTCTTAAAAGTTAGAACTGTATATTTTATCTCTAAATCCCCAGGGCCTTGTACAAAAATTGGTACATAGTGAGAGCTCAAGTAAATAAATGCTTTTAAATGAACAAATAAAGGAATACATAAGTTTTCCTAATTATATTTTGGAAGTAGAAAGGAAGTTGTTTGAAATATCTATGGGTAGCTAAGATGCCATAAATTATATCTATTTAATTATCATATACAATCAAGTTATGTTTTCAGGTCCAATGGCAGCTCTTAAAGAAACTAGAAATGTCAAAATGCAGGAAAACTCCTTATTTTCCTAACAGTAGGAAAAGTTAGCATATGGCAAGTAGGTCTTCACAACTCTATCTACCAGGTTTAGTCCTCATATCACTAATTTCTAACTGTAGGTTAAGGAGCATGGTAAATTGCAAAGGCTCTCAGGTGATCCAGACATCCAACCAAATGTACGGTGTGTACCTTACAATGTGGCAGGCACTGATAATTTCTTGTAATAATTACGTTGATGACAAGACAGTATCTTCACTATCAGTTCTCACTAGAATTAATAATCTATTCTTGATGTTTAACCTAAATCCTATCAATTAATTCATGCCTCACCAAGAGCCAGAGCCATTCTTCTAAACTGTGAGGTTTACTGCTATAGAAAATAGAAGCTGCACAGGCCCAAGGTTTCTTCTGCCCCAAGTGGAGAGGCCTCGGAACCAACAACTGCAGAAATAGAGCTCCATAAATAGGGAGAAAAGAATGAGGACTGGCCTGTTTTCCAACAGTGGCGGTCTTTCACCAACACACAGAAGGGCAGAAGTACTTGAGGACATTACCAGCATGAGGCAGATTTGGCATTTCCAGGTTCAATCCTGCAGTTTGCTTTTTCTGCATCTTTACTTCCTTCTGTCTTGCTTCCTCTCTGAGAAAGTTTTTGTAATTTGTTTTAAAGCACTAATATCAGCAAAAATTCACTGTGGGAAACTCTACAGGATAAAAGACCCCATGTCTTCAGTGAATAAATGGCAAAGAAAAAAACCAAAGAAATGGAAGGGAAAACTATGCATTAAAAACTATGACTTAAGAAACAAAAAAATTAACTGCAGTCTATACACATTGAGTCCTAGGTCAAACAAACAAACTTATATATTATATTTAAATATATTTATATATATGTTATATGTAATATATAACATATTTATGTTAAATAAATATAACATTTAAATATAACATAGTTAAACATACTTATATATTCATAATATATTTACATATTAGATATAATATTAGATATATTTTTAATGAATCCTTATCTTTTAGAGATGCATAGAGAAATTTTTTATAAATGAAATATAATTTGCTTCAAAAGAACACAGGAAGGGGAAGAAAAAGGTAGAATATAAATAAAACAAGATAGTTAATTGAGTTGATTGGTAATTAATATGAGTTGCTAATTGTTGAAACTATCTACTTTGGTGTGTTTGAAATTTTTTATAATCAAGAGTTGTAAATGAATGTGAGAATATTCCTCCACAGAAATAATTCTAATGTACTGAAAAATAAGATAGTGTCCCCTGTTTCTTTGGTTTTACTACAGAAACATGTTAAAAGAAAAGAAAAATAGGCATTTACCAACAATTCAAATAATGGAATCCTTCATTGAAGATTTGGCATGTTAGATTTTTGTGTCACAATAATCTAACTTTGATGGATATTACTGTAGCCCTGTAAATTAATTCTGAGCTTATATTAAAATTTTAACATAAATAAGATTTTGGCTACAAATAAATTTAAATAGTAATTTTCTATTTTACGTATTGTACACATACAGATAAATTAGTGTAACTTTGCTTCAGTTAAGTTTACAAATTTTCAACTACATGAAGAAATTCTATCTTTATTAAGCTCTTACAGGTGCATGAACTAGTTGCCCGGTTGACATATATAAATACAAAAAATGTTTACAGAGCCTCAAAATATTTACTGAAATTAACCAGTAAGTTAAAAATAATTTTCAGGCATATATGTGGATGTGTGATACTGTTCTGTGATATTGGGTAATTGGTAAACTTAGATATTTTTCAACACGATTTATAAATGCCCAATAAATAACGCGGCCCTCATTTCACCAAGAGGGCTGCTACCAACAAAGAAAGTGGGGAGGAGGACGCCTTTTCTGGAAGGTGGAGACAAATGGGCACATCTCTGGTGTCCACAATTGAGTGAGCTAAAAACTTTGCAGTTAAGCTTTTTTACTGTTTTAGTTTAGTTATGGACGTCTGGGCTTTTTTCCCAATTTTTCAAAAGTACCAATCTTTGTTTAAATCACTTCTAAAGTCTTCTCTTTAAGGATTAAAACAACCACCACAACAATAAAAATGATGCAAACGCTGCCCAAATATTATACCCCTTCTTGCCTATGCATGACTTTTGCTTGAGAGAGGTAAAAGGGTTTTCGCCCTCCTGGAGGCACCCTGCACAAACTCCTCTCTAGCAAAGCCCTTCGCCTGTGGCTTTCGAGGGGTTTTGCCCCCACCCCTTCCCTTCTTTTCTGCACAAAATGCTTCCTGAAGGACTCGCATTAAGATTGCGCTCGTTTCATAGAAGACACTGCATCTCCAGGACAACCGAGAGCAAACGTGGTGTAGCGGGTGGGCCGGGCCGCGCGGAGGACCACCCCCCAGACCGCCGCGCCTCTCACCTGTCCGCTGCGGGGGTCACCCCGCACTCGCGTGTCGAGCGCGTCGTGCCCTGTCTGGTCTTCGCCGCCCGAGCGGTAGATGAGTCGGAGCGGCACGATGCTCTGGCGCTCTAGGAAGCGGTTTTCGTTCCTCCTCTCCACCTCCGTCAACGAGGCGTCTTCTCCAGGCAGGAAGGATAGGAGAGATTGTAGGTGGGCCGGGGGAGGCGAAAATAATGACCCTTACTCACACTCGTCTGTCTTGCCGTCCGACACCTCCTCTCTGAAAATCCCACCGCCCCCTCCCTCCCGGACTCCATCTGGGAAGGACGCAGAGACACCAACTGGAGAGCCTTGGGCCAGCTCGTCTGAGAGCATCCAGGATCGGGGCCCAGATGCAGAGCACCCCTTTCCATCCTCCGCATGCCTCTTTTTCAAAATAAAAACAGGCATTTGACCGAAGGCTTCCAATACATCCGCGCGCCCCCACACGTATTTTTGCTCCACTTCTCACCACCCTTCCAAAAAATAAAAAATAAAAAAAATCTCCCCGCGCACTTGGAAAATGGGGATGCCCCTTTGCGATGCTCTTGAGAGCTGCAGAGATTCCCAGCAGATGGTACGTTCAAAGCCACAAAGGGTGGCGAACTTACCTGCCCGGCCGCAGCGCGCCGAAGGGCAGGTCCCCAGGGCGCAGAGCAGCAAGAAGGGCACCGACGCAGCCGCCGCTGCTTGCATGGTGCTGCTGTCAGTCCGCCGCGCTAAAGACGCTCAGCTCCTCATGCTCGGGCAGCTGGTCCAGCTCCCTCGCCCGGCGCCCCCCGGTTCGCCTGAGCCGCCCCCTCCCAGCCCCGGCCGGTGCTGCGGCAGCCGTGGGGCTGCAGCCTCCACAGCGGCGCTGCCTCAGTGCTGCATTGTGTTCCGCGGGCGCTTCCGCTGGCGGGGGGAGCTAGAGAGTGCTGCATTGGGCGGTTGGCTGTAGCTAAGTGGTTTCTAGCGCCTCCCACCTCATCCCATGGCAAAGGCTCCGGCGGGCAAGAAGCGCTCGGCAGGGAGCGAGCGCCTGGTGCTCTCGCTCCCCGCGCGCGGACTGGGGCGCGCGCACGAGAGTCAGCTGGGAAATGTAGTTCTCCCTCCTCCCCTCGTGACTGCGAGGTCCTGAGCAGCTTGAAGATGGGAGGGAGAAAAAGGACGAAAGAAAAAGAGAAGTCATAGCTGGCAGGCCTCCTTGCACCGAGGGTATCCAACCACGCTGCTGCTGCTGGAGCCGGTATTCATCCGGCTTTGTCCACAAAGAACTGTAATTATATGTTCTACAAACTTAATAGTTAAGTATTATGAGAGCATTATACCTTCAAGAGTACATGGTAAGTTAATCATTCCACAAGTATTGATTGAGGACCTACTATGTGCCCGGCGGTTAACTAAGCGCAGGAGACATGATCGCGAAAGACTCACGTATGAGGCACGTTCTCAGCTATGGTTGAGTAAAACACCGTTTTTTGCAGTAAAGTGTGAAAAGTGTCCTGGTAACGCCTAGAGAAGGGTTTTTAACTCAGCCTCGGAGAGGCAGGGAGACCCTCCTGAAGGATATGTTGGATTTAGCGTAACTCTCCAGGATGTTTTTGTCCTTTCTCTAATACATGCCTTCTTCAAACCTATATTTGAAAACCAGACTTTGGAAACTCTACTTTCTCGGCTGCTTATTCCATTTTTCTTTAATTCTAAGTGTTAGAAACTCTTGCAGGTAAGACAATAATAAAATAATTATCAACACAACACTTGTATAGTACTTCTGTACTGTTTTTCAGAGGTCACATAAATAATCATGTGAATCTTAGGCCAACAGTTTGATAAGTATTGTTCCTATTTCAGAGAGAAGGAAATTAAGGCTTAGAGCCGTACCTTTCAAATATTATAGCCACTAGCCACATGTAGCTATTTAAATTTAAATTAATTAAAATTTAAAATTCAGTTCTTAAGTCATGCTAACCACATTTCAAGTACTAAATAAAATACCTGTGGTTAGTGACTACTATACTATACAGTAAAAATATGGAACATTTCCATCATTGCAGAAAATTCTATTGGGCGACACTGAATTGAAGAATTTAAATGACTTTCCTTCAAGGTCCCAGTCATAAAGTAGACTGGCTCTCCTGCTTTCAGAGGAGTCTTTTACCACATCTCTGTGTTTGAACCTGTGTTAGCGTAACCTCCATCCTAGTTCTGGTCCTATAAAACATACAGAAGAATCTTCCATATGATGCTCTTTGGAGATGTTTTTCTCCTTTCGTGGGGGGATTTTTTTTTTTTATCTCTGCCTCATATGACATGGTTTTAGGTTCCCTCACCATTGTAATGATTTGAAAATTCTCTCCATTTTGTCAATGTCCCAGCTAAAGTGTGATATCCAGAATTAAATACAATTTAGACATGGTTTCACAAGCAAACAATACCAAGGGACTTTTTTCTTCATGGTCCTAAATTCTTGCCTATGAGAACATTCTATCATATTTTGGTAGCCACACCTCACTTATTGTCGTTTCAAAGAAATTCTCCAAATTCTTCAGATAATGAGACACTTAAGAATTCTATATATTACATGCAAGTGTAGTCTGAATAAGGGCTATAAGTTTTTAATAGTACACCTTATACCTTGATGCAAAAGATTCCATAACAGTCACCGTATAAGAGAATTAGAACCCAAGGGCCTAGAAAAGCCCTTTCAACCTCTACATCATGGATATATATTCTTATCCAATTCTCTTAGTTGGAAGAGAATTTTACATGTTTTATAAATATTGTGCTGCTCTAAGTATATAACATTTTTTTTTTATTTAAACATCTCTTGTCATAAGTAGTGCTTCCCTGTGTGTGTTGTAAGCATTTCTCTAATGCAGATAGCAGAACACTTGGTTCAAAGTTTGCACATTTTTTAATGTAATAGGTACCTTTAAACCACTCCATCTCCTTGGCACAGAATGGACCTCCTGAGAGGCAAGGTAAAAGAGAAGATACCTGTGGCTCTGATCACACATTTTCCCCAAGGTATGTGGAGGTGGGGAGGGGCAGCAGAAGTAAACTTGTCTCAGTGGCACAGCAGGACAAAGCATCCCATCCTGTAGGGACAGAATCTCCTTTGAATCTGTGAAGTCGTGTGCTTCTTGCCACACCTTGTCTACATTGTTTACATTGTTGTCATTGTTTTCATTTGATTCCCATCATCCAGTTAATTAACACATCCATCACCCCAAATATTTTTTTGGTGAAAATATTTAAGTTCTACTCTCAAATTTCAATTATATAATGCAGTGTTATCAACTATAGTCACTATATTTTACATTAGATTCTCAGACCTTATTTATCTTATAGCTGAAAGTTTGTACCATTTTACCAACCATTCCCTATTTCCTTCCCCCCAACCCAGCCCCTGGCAACCACTTTCCTATTCTCCGTTTCTATGAGTTTGACTTTTTTTTTAATTCCACATATAAATCATACCATACAGTATTTGTCTTTCTCTCCCTAGCTATTTCACTTAACATAATACCCTCAAGGTACATCTATGTTGTAACTGGCAGGATTTCCTTCTTTCTCATGTCTGAGGGTGGATTGGGAAGCTCCCACTCCAGCTCCACCACTCTAAACATCAAGAGTTAGGAGCTAGAGAGGTGAGGAGAAATTAAAGTTGTGGTTTTTGACCCACTGAGAATAACTGTAATCCACAGGGCTACTTGAACCTCTGGATTCTGGATTCACAGATCAAGTCCCAGCCCATTCTTATGTCACCATCAAGATCCCCAAATAGGCATTCTGAGTACTTACGGTTTGTTTTCTTTTTAACATTTTATTAGAAAAGACTGTAAAATAACCATTTAGACACTTTACCTATTTAACATGCAAATGTAAATAAGTTGTAATATAGGAATCTTTTGTTTTAATAAAAAAAAAAACTTCTGTCCAATTTCTGCGGCACATTATTCAAGTTTTATTCACAGCTAAAAAAGAAAGAAAAGAGAGAGAGAGAGAAAGCAAGAGAGAGAAAGAGAAAGAAAAACAAACATGTATGGATTTTTTTTTTTGAAAAATGTCTATTCAGTTCCTCTGCCCATTTTTTAATCATATTGCTTGGGTTTTCTTTTCTTTTTTGTTTTTTTCTGTTGTTGTTTTTGTTTTTGTTTTGCTATTGGGTCGTATGAGATACAACTTATCAGACATATGATTTGTAAATATTTTCTCCCATTCAGTAGGTTGCCTTTTCATTCAGTTGATGGCTTCCTTTGCTGTGTAGAAGCTTTTTAGTCTGACATAGTTGCACTTGTTTATTTTTGCTTTTGTTAATCTTTGCTTTTGGTATCATATTAAAAAAAATCATTACCCGCTAATGTCAAAGAGCTTACTTCCTATGTTTTCTTGTTTCAGGTCTTATATTCAAGTTCCATGAGTTTCAGGTTTCAGTTTTATGGCTTCAGGTCTTACATTCAAGTCTTTCATCCATTTTGAGTTGATTTTTGTGGTATAAGATAGAGATCCAGTTTTATTCTTTTGCATTTTCTGTTTTCCCAGCACTATTTATTGAAGAGGCTGTTCTTTCCCCATTGTATATTCTTGGCCCCTTTGTCATAAATTAATTGACCATATATGTATGGGTTTATTTCTGGGCTCTCTTTCCTGTTCCATTAATTTATGTTTCTGTTTTTATGTCAATACCATACTGTTTTGATTACTATCGCTTTATAATACAGTTTGAAACCAGGGAGCTTGATGCCACCAGCTTTATTCTCTCTCAAGATTGCTTTGGCGATTTAGGGACTTTTGTGGTTCCACACAAATTTTAGGATTTTTTGTTCTGTTTCTGTGAAAAATGCCATTGTAATTTTGATAGGCATTGCATTGAATCTGTAGATCTCTTTGGGTAGTATGGACATTTTAATAATATCAGTTCTTCCAATCTATGAGCACGTAATATCTTTCCATTTATTTCTGTCTTCTTCAATCTCTTTCATGTCTAATAGTTTTAAGTGTACAGTTCTTTCACCTCCTTGGTTAAATTTATTCCTAGGTATTTTATTCTTTTTCATGCAATTGTAAATGGGATTGTTTTCTTAATTTCTCTTTCTGATAGTTCATTATTAGTGTTTAGAAACACAGCTGAGTTTTGCATATTGATTTTGTATCCTGCAATTTTGCTGAGTTTGTTTATTCTAATGTTTTCTTGGTGGAGTTTTTAGGGTTTTCTATACATAATATCATGTCTTCTGCGATAGAGAGTTTTATTTTTTCCTTTCCGATATGGATCCCTTTTATTTTTTTTCTTGCCTAATTGCCCAGGCTAGGACTTCCAGTACTATGTTGATTAAAAGTGGCAAGAGGGAGCATCCTTGTCTTCTTCCTGAACTTAGAGGAAAAGCTTTTAGCTTACACCATTGAGTACGATTTTAGCTGTGGGCTTGTCATATATGGCCTTTATTATATTGAGGTACATTTTCTCTATGCCCAGTTTGTTGAGAGGTTTTTTTTTATATATCATAAATGGATATTGGATTTTGTCAAACGCTTTTTTTGCATCTATTGAAACAATTAAACAATTCTTATCTTTCATTTTGTTAATGTGGCGTATCACATTAGTCTTTTGTTTTTCTTTGAAGTAAGGCTCTTCAGGACACATCTCATCATATATGTATATATGAAACCCATTACATTTATAGAAGCCAGGTATATGTCGTTATTATAATTGGCAAGATTGAAGAGGCTTCCAGAGGAGGCCTGATTCTTAGCAAGTTATGGCACTTGTTAATAGAACACAGTTCCTTTGGGAGCAAAATGGATGGACAACCAGCAAGGAAATTACTCAATATGTATCATTAAAATAAATCAGCCTCAGGAGGCTGAGGGCAGTTGCTCCAATAAGAAATCATGATCTCTTATTTAGTTTCCAGATTTTAGTCAGTTTTTCAACCCAGAAATCACTAACTAAGGAAAAGGCCATGTCCCCAGAAGAAGGCCCCTGCAATATATGTCAGGCATACATGGTAACGATTCCCCTAGTTAATCCTTCCCCAAAGAGACCAACCTCCATTTTACTTTGGTAATGGTGTACCAGGGAAAGGGAAATACTCCAGTATTTGCCAGATGTGGGGTCTGAATTGACACGGATACATAGGACCCAAAGTACCTATTCTAGTGGCGGCATGTGCGAGCTAGGTAATAAATAGAGTCCTGGACAGGTTTAGTTCACAATGGGCCAAACAATGTTATTTGCTTAGCCTCTAAATGTATTATTAGAAGAGAAATACTTAGTACTTCATAAAATCCCCCACATTGTGTCACTGACCTATCAGGTAAGAGTTATTATAGTGGAA